TGAAGGCCACAGAGGAAGACAAGAGCAGAGAGGATGCGGTGTTCTGCGTGATTTTGGCTGCGGCCTGCTACAATGCCCAGCGCACAAGGCTCTTGCTCAATGGCACCTTCGACCTGCAACTCATTCCTGAGCACAAATTCTGTGGCAACTGGAAGGCATGCAACTTCTTTGACATCAGAGTTGGCTGGCCCCAGGTGCAGATTCTCCAAGCATGGTTGGGCTTTGATGCAGAGGATAGGGGAACTTGCCGCTCCAAAGAAGAGCTAATCATGGTGTCAAAGGCTCACTTGCTTGGCCCTGATTGCGAGGCAGCCTACAAAGAAGACCTGCTCTACATGGCCGGGTTAAAGGAGCAGATCACCTTGGGAGGCTTTAAGCTCTTCATTACTGGCCTCAATGGTAATGTCAACTTCAAGACCCTGGTGGTGAATGCAATGCCAGCTATGGAGAAGCTGAGATAGGGCTGTGCAAAAAAGAATGTTTTTCTTTCCACAGGTGTGGAAAAGTCCGACTTTTTGGCACAGCTTTTTCCATGTGGAAAAGTGGTGTGGAAAAGCGTGGAAAAGGATGTATTTGGGCGGTTACCAGAGCTTGAGTACCCACGCCCAGTGGTTCCAGGCAGAGAACCACTGTAGTACCCTTTTGGCTCAAGTGTAGAGCATTTGTGCCAGATTTTGCTGTTGCTACAGCCGAATTAGGCGTCAACCAAACAGATGCTCAATGTGTGAATGAAACTGTAGCATTGAGTAACAAAGTGCAATCTGATCCTCTATCTCAGGCATGGTGTGTAGTGGTCTGAAAGTCACTGAACACAAAATTGATCTCACACTGTAGAGATCAGTCATTGCTCTATTTTCATGGTGGTAGAGCAGCTCAAGGGCTTTGGTTCTTGGTGTTGCTAGGCTGGTGTGTCGGCAGCAATGTATGTCAGGGGAGCTTACAGCTCATCATAGTCAATCTCTTCCCCAGCCTCCTCTGTAAGGGCCTCCAGGCTGCTCTCTTGCTCGACAATGGGCTCCAGTTCTCCCACAGCTGCACCCATTGCTTGACCAAGAAGATTGGATGACATGTCAAAGACTTTTGACAAGATGAAGCTTTCTCCCATATCTGTATCTTCTTCCTGGTCTTCAGATTCCAGAGTGGCCAGGTCACCTTCTTCTGAAGGATTGAGGAGCCTTTCAATTGCCATGGACTGTTGAGTTGGATCTGCACTCATGAGCAATGCACCCTCGGATGTTTGTACCCCAGGATGGTGGGCTGTCTTGAGGCTTTGGCGCTCCTTGATATAATGCTGGCACAGTTGAACTGAATAGATGAGGTTGGCTGGCTTGAGTGATGCCCTTTTTGCGGCATCAAACCACCCAAGTGTAGAGGCTGATCTCTCCTCTGCCATTGATGTAGCCTGTATAGCTAACAGCTTAAGAGCAATATGAGCTATCTCCTTGCTGGCGTGAGCATCCCTGAGGTTGGTGCAAAAGTGCTCAGAGTCTTCTGTTGGCCCTGTGAAAGGTGCCAAGCCAAGTATGTATGCTGAAAGCTGTTCCTTGATGTAAGAGGCCCTTGACTGACTGCCTCTTTTGCCATGTCTTTGCTGCTCAGCATCATCCAGCTTGACCAGTATGCGAACCAAGCCAGCAAAGAGCTGATCCGAGTCCTTCAACTTTGTGACAGGCTGGATGTTAGGAATGTCAATCTTGAGACACTTCAATGCTCTGTGGGCTGGAAGGAGTAGCCAGCATAATACCAAGATACTTGCTGGGCCCTCTTGATTTGCTGTGCATTGTTTGAGAAAGCCCTTCCAGCGGGTGTTGAGCAATGAACTGAGCTGGTGACCTTGCTCTTAGAGAACGACAGACCCTTGAGGGAGTGCTTGATGGCGATCCCAGCTCCATGCTATAGTCAGCCAAGCATGGCAGACATCAGCCAGAGTGACCTTGCATCCTTCCAAGGTCTTGATAGCATTTGCCAAAGGTTCCAGTATCAGCACCAAGTTGTTGAGTCCTTGCTAGAAGCTGATGTGCTCCGTGCTCCTGGTGCTGAGAAGCGGTGATAGCTTACCTTTTGTGCTGCCTTTCCAGGAGAAGGAGGGAGCAGCAGTCTGGAGGGAAGCACAGACTTTGCTGCGCAGTAGACTGTTGCAACGCGAGTGTCTCCAATGCTCTTGATGCCATGTGAAAGACCAAGGCGCCTTCTTTCTTCATTGAGAAGAGCAGTCGCATGGTTGCTTGAGTTCAGGTACCTGATTAGGAGGGCAAGGCTGTTGATAGTATTGTCCAGCCCAGGGATGATCTTTGCCACATCTTTGGCATAAAAATTGAGCCAGTGAGGTGCATCTGGCAGTGTGATGATCCAAGGATAGGTGCTGCTGAGGTCTTCTTTGGCTTGCTGCAGAGCTGAAGCACTGCCAGAGCAAATGGCTGAGAGCTTGTGCGCCAGAAGCTGGTGCTGCTCAGAGGGTAGAGCTTGCTGGCAGATGCCTTCCAGAATTGTCTTGATGCAGCTGGCTGAAGCAGTTTGCGAACCCAGAAGCTCTGCTTTGTAGAGATGAGCATCCCCTTGGGGTGAAGTGATGTGGAAGGTGTAAATCTCCAGTCTAGCCCTGGATGACCAGCCATCCATGCTGAGAGTCATGTTGCAGATTTAAGACTTGCCCAAGTGCTTGAGATATTCTGCTGTAATCTTGGCGCATTTTTGTGGAAGATGCTCATCAAAGAACCTTGTCCTGTCTGGAACAGCATAGCCAGGGCAGGCCTCCTTGACAAATGCCTGGAACTCTGGCATGGATACCAAACTGAATGGCAAAGCTCCAACAACAATTGTCTTGAGTAAGAGCAAGTCAAGTGTCATCTGCCTATGAACTGTGATGGTCTTCTTGTCTTGATCAATGTATGTGTCAAGTGTGCCAGCCTTTCTCTTGTTGCCTGCTTGGCCTGTGCTGACTGTGATGGTTGAAGTAGCTTCAAGTTCTGTTGACAAAGCGGCCTGGTGCTGTGCTCTGGTCAAAGCAGCTAGAAGGTTGGGACTTGTCTATTTTTGAGCAGCTGCTGGCGTGGCGCTTTGCTCTTGCCACCTCGCTCATTTCTCCTGCGGCATCACATCCAATGTACCCAAACATCCTTGTGGTCTTGCTCTTGCCTTGGCCAGCAAGTTCATTTGCCTGATTGACCCTTGTTCCTTCAATGACTAGTGCATCAAAGATTGTGTTCTTTGGTCGCCCTTTTGTCTGAATTGATGGCTTGAAGCTGTAAGTAGGACATCTTTGGGCCCATAGCTCTCTTTGCTGCTCTCTGGTTGTTGTTCTCTGCTCAAATGTTGGATGGGTGGCTGTTGAGTCTGCATTTTGATGCTCAGTCTGTTTGTCTGCCATTTTGACATACAGGGCTGCTTGGCACTTGATTGGTGGGAACTGAGGATGGAGAAGGGGTGTAAGGGCAGAGATGCATCAAGAGATGTGATGCTAAGAAGTCAGGATGAGGTTTGAGTGGCAAGGCATGCCTGGCAGGCCAACTCTAAGCGGTTCTGCCTAGTTCTCTGAACTTGATCTTGAGCTCCTTGAAGAGATCAATCAAGTTGCTTAGCCAAGTATCTTGATTGGCCAAGTGCAAGGCAAATGGGGTTTTCACGCTTTTCCACGTGCCCAAAATGGTCTTTCTCTTCCACGGTGTTTTCCACGCTGTGGAAAAGATGTGGAAAAGTGCCTGTGGAAAAGTCGGACCCTTTCTTGCACAGCCCTAAGTTGAGACTCTTTCTGCCAGCACTGCTGACACCATTGGAGACTCAGGCATGTTCAAGGAGGAGGGACCATGCCTTCCTGACAATCCTTTTGATCCCTTCAAACATCAGCCTGAGTCCAGCGGCAGAGAGTCTGCTCAATGGCAAAGCTGCGGCCTGCTACAATGCCCAGCGCACAAGGCTCTTGCTCAATGGCACCTTCGACCTGCAACTCATTCCTGAGCACAAATTCTGTGGCAACTGGAAGGCATGCAACTTCTTTGACATCAGAGTTGGCTGGCCCCAGGTGCAGATTCTCCAAGCATGGTTGGGCTTTGATGCAGAGGATAGGGGAACTTGCCGCTCCAAAGAAGAGCTAATCATGGTGTCAAAGGCTCACTTGCTTGGCCCTGATTGCGAGGCAGCCTACAAAGAAGACCTGCTCTACATGGCCGGGTTAAAGGAGCAGATCACCTTGGGAGGCTTTAAGCTCTTCATTACTGGCCTCAATGGTAATGTCAACTTCAAGACCCTGGTGGTGAATGCAATGCCAGCTATGGAGAAGCTGAGATAGGGCTGTGCAAAAAAGAATGTTTTTCTTTCCACAGGTGTGGAAAAGTCCGACTTTTTGGCACAGCTTTTTCCATGTGGAAAAGTGGTGTGGAAAAGCGTGGAAAAGGATGTATTTGGGCGGTTACCAGAGCTTGAGTACCCACGCCCAGTGGTTCCAGGCAGAGAACCACTGTAGTACCCTTTTGGCTCAAGTGTAGAGCATTTGTGCCAGATTTTGCTGTTGCTACAGCCGAATTAGGCGTCAACCAAACAGATGCTCAATGTGTGAATGAAACTGTAGCATTGAGTAACAAAGTGCAATCTGATCCTCTATCTCAGGCATGGTGTGTAGTGGTCTGAAAGTCACTGAACACAAAATTGATCTCACACTGTAGAGATCAGTCATTGCTCTATTTTCATGGTGGTAGAGCAGCTCAAGGGCTTTGGTTCTTGGTGTTGCTAGGCTGGTGTGTCGGCAGCAATGTATGTCAGGGGAGCTTACAGCTCATCATAGTCAATCTCTTCCCCAGCCTCCTCTGTAAGGGCCTCCAGGCTGCTCTCTTGCTCGACAATGGGCTCCAGTTCTCCCACAGCTGCACCCATTGCTTGACCAAGAAGATTGGATGACATGTCAAAGACTTTTGACAAGATGAAGCTTTCTCCCATATCTGTATCTTCTTCCTGGTCTTCAGATTCCAGAGTGGCCAGGTCACCTTCTTCTGAAGGATTGAGGAGCCTTTCAATTGCCATGGACTGTTGAGTTGGATCTGCACTCATGAGCAATGCACCCTCGGATGTTTGTACCCCAGGATGGTGGGCTGTCTTGAGGCTTTGGCGCTCCTTGATATAATGCTGGCACAGTTGAACTGAATAGATGAGGTTGGCTGGCTTGAGTGATGCCCTTTTTGCGGCATCAAACCACCCAAGTGTAGAGGCTGATCTCTCCTCTGCCATTGATGTAGCCTGTATAGCTAACAGCTTAAGAGCAATATGAGCTATCTCCTTGCTGGCGTGAGCATCCCTGAGGTTGGTGCAAAAGTGCTCAGAGTCTTCTGTTGGCCCTGTGAAAGGTGCCAAGCCAAGTATGTATGCTGAAAGCTGTTCCTTGATGTAAGAGGCCCTTGACTGACTGCCTCTTTTGCCATGCCTTTGCTGCTCAGCATCATCCAGCTTGACCAGTATGCGAACCAAGCCAGCAAAGAGCTGATCAGAGTCCTTCAACTTTGTGACAGGCTGGATGTTAGGAATGTCAATCTTGAGACACTTCAATGCTCTGTGGGCTGGAAGGAGTAGCCAGCATAATACCAAGATACTTGCTGGGCCCTCTTGATTTGCTGTGCATTGTTTGAGAAAGCCCTTCCAGCGGGTGTTGAGCAATGAACTGAGCTGGTGACCTTGCTCTTAGAGAACGACAGACCCTTGAGGGAGTGCTTGATGGCGATCCCAGCTCCATGCTATAGTCAGCCAAGCATGGCAGACATCAGCCAGAGTGACCTTGCATCCTTCCAAGGTCTTGATAGCATTTGCCAAAGGTTCCAGTATCAGCACCAAGTTGTTGAGTCCTTGCTAGAAGCTGATGTGCTCCGTGCTCCTGGTGCTGAGAAGCGGTGATAGCTTACCTTTTGTGCTGCCTTTCCAGGAGAAGGAGGGAGCAGCAGTCTGGAGGGAAGCACAGACTTTGCTGCGCAGTAGACTGTTGCAACGCGAGTGTCTCCAATGCTCTTGATGCCATGTGAAAGACCAAGGCGCCTTCTTTCTTCATTGAGAAGAGCAGTCGCATGGTTGCTTGAGTTCAGGTACCTGATTAGGAGGGCAAGGCTGTTGATAGTATTGTCCAGCCCAGGGATGATCTTTGCCACATCTTTGGCATAAAAATTGAGCCAGTGAGGTGCATCTGGCAGTGTGATGATCCAAGGATAGGTGCTGCTGAGGTCTTCTTTGGCTTGCTGCAGAGCTGAAGCACTGCCAGAGCAAATGGCTGAGAGCTTGTGCGCCAGAAGCTGGTGCTGCTCAGAGGGTAGAGCTTGCTGGCAGATGCCTTCCAGAATTGTCTTGATGCAGCTGGCTGAAGCAGTTTGCGAACCCAGAAGCTCTGCTTTGTAGAGATGAGCATCCCCTTGGGGTGAAGTGATGTGGAAGGTGTAAATCTCCAGTCTAGCCCTGGATGACCAGCCATCCATGCTGAGAGTCATGTTGCAGATTTAAGACTTGCCCAAGTGCTTGAGATATTCTGCTGTAATCTTGGCGCATTTTTGTGGAAGATGCTCATCAAAGAACCTTGTCCTGTCTGGAACAGCATAGCCAGGGCAGGCCTCCTTGACAAATGCCTGGAACTCTGGCATGGATACCAAACTGAATGGCAAAGCTCCAACAACAATTGTCTTGAGTAAGAGCAAGTCAAGTGTCATCTGCCTATGAACTGTGATGGTCTTCTTGTCTTGATCAATGTATGTGTCAAGTGTGCCAGCCTTTCTCTTGTTGCCTGCTTGGCCTGTGCTGACTGTGATGGTTGAAGTAGCTTCAAGTTCTGTTGACAAAGCGGCCTGGTGCTGTGCTCTGGTCAAAGCAGCTAGAAGGTTGGGACTTGTCTATTTTTGAGCAGCTGCTGGCGTGGCGCTTTGCTCTTGCCACCTCGCTCATTTCTCCTGCGGCATCACATCCAATGTACCCAAACATCCTTGTGGTCTTGCTCTTGCCTTGGCCAGCAAGTTCATTTGCCTGATTGACCCTTGTTCCTTCAATGACTAGTGCATCAAAGATTGTGTTCTTTGGTCGCCCTTTTGTCTGAATTGATGGCTTGAAGCTGTAAGTAGGACATCTTTGGGCCCATAGCTCTCTTTGCTGCTCTCTGGTTGTTGTTCTCTGCTCAAATGTTGGATGGGTGGCTGTTGAGTCTGCATTTTGATGCTCAGTCTGTTTGTCTGCCATTTTGACATACAGGGCTGCTTGGCACTTGATTGGTGGGAACTGAGGATGGAGAAGGGGTGTAAGGGCAGAGATGCATCAAGAGATGTGATGCTAAGAAGTCAGGATGAGGTTTGAGTGGCAAGGCATGCCTGGCAGGCCAACTCTAAGCGGTTCTGCCTAGTTCTCTGAACTTGATCTTGAGCTCCTTGAAGAGATCAATCAAGTTGCTTAGCCAAGTATCTTGATTGGCCAAGTGCAAGGCAAATGGGGTTTTCACGCTTTTCCACGTGCCCAAAATGGTCTTTCTCTTCCACGGTGTTTTCCACGCTGTGGAAAAGATGTGGAAAAGTGCCTGTGGAAAAGTCGGACCCTTTCTTGCACAGCCCTAAGTTGAGACTCTTTCTGCCAGCACTGCTGACACCATTGGAGACTCAGGCATGTTCAAGGAGGAGGGACCATGCCTTCCTGACAATCCTTTTGATCCCTTCAAACATCAGCCTGAGTCCAGCGGCAGAGAGTCTGCTCAATGGCAAAGCTGCGGCCTGCTACAATGCCCAGCGCACAAGGCTCTTGCTCAATGGCACCTTCGACCTGCAACTCATTCCTGAGCACAAATTCTGTGGCAACTGGAAGGCATGCAACTTCTTTGACATCAGAGTTGGCTGGCCCCAGGTGCAGATTCTCCAAGCATGGTTGGGCTTTGATGCAGAGGATAGGGGAACTTGCCGCTCCAAAGAAGAGCTAATCATGGTGTCAAAGGCTCACTTGCTTGGCCCTGATTGCGAGGCAGCCTACAAAGAAGACCTGCTCTACATGGCCGGGTTAAAGGAGCAGATCACCTTGGGAGGCTTTAAGCTCTTCATTACTGGCCTCAATGGTAATGTCAACTTCAAGACCCTGGTGGTGAATGCAATGCTGGCTATGGAGAAGCTGAGGCTCTTCCTGCCGGCACTGCTGACACCATCGGAGACTCAGGCACGTTCAAGGAGGAGGGACTGTGCCTTCCCAGCAATCATGCCTTCAAACATCAGCCTGAGTCCTGCGGCAGAGAGTCTCCTCCATGGCCAAGCATTTGTGCACAAGTCTGCTTTCTTCAGCGCAGCGCACATCTTCTTTGCGGACCATGCAGAGAGGAAAGGGAGAGTGGAGCTTCGCCTTGCAGAGGTCACCAACCGGGAGCTGAAGGAGCGGCATGCAGCAGGAGAGCGGTGCTTTCTAAGGGCAGTGCCGGCGACGGAACCAGCACGATTCAAGTGGCTGGCTGCTGGCCCAAAGACGGCTGGACTTGCGCACAAGCTGCAACAGCAATGCAAGCTTCAGTGGGCGTCCATGACTAGCGCCGACTGGTCGGATCTGGAGGGGCAACATACCTTGCGAGTATCGGTCAAGAAGCCGAGTCAGATTGCGAATGCCCTGGCAGAACTCCTTCCCTGCCTTACTCCCTCTCCCCAGAGTCACAGTGCCTAGGCTTTCTTCCCCGCGAGATCACATTCCACCCCTTGCAAGTTCGCTTTCGCAATTCTGTTTGGGCTCACCACGAACCCCTGATGCCATGATCTCCTCCCTCTCTGAGCGTGACGTACACACCGTGTCCGGGCTACATTGGATCGAGCAGTCTGTCATCACCAATGGAGTGCGTGCACTGTCAGACTGGCATCTCGCACATGTGCAGACCATGTGCGTATGTTCGATGTGTGTTAAAACTCCTGAGACTTGAATGATTTACAAGGCTTGCGTCGCGATTCGGACTTCCATCCTGATTGGGGTTGTGCATGTGCTGGTTGCCCTGCACGTCTTCGCCCCGCGGAGTCGTTGAAAGGTGGGTTGCGCGCAGCGAGATATTTCTAATCGTTCGTCCTCATTGTCGGCGAGGGCCCTTGATTCATGTTTGGCGCTTCCCGAATCCGGACATTCTTGGCTCGATCGTTCGCGGAGGCGCGAGGGCAATCCTAGCAGTTGGTGGTCTGAGAACACAGATGGCATGTTCTGCTCGGAGACTGCTCGGAAGCTTGGTCAAAGAGCTCAGACTTGCTCTGCCGTCAGGACGGATTGACCTGCAGATGCTCGATTTGACATAGCAATAAAAAACCTTAGTAATGATATACGTTGTGCTCCATGTTGACTGAGCGAGATCGAGAGCGCGTTTAGGGATATATCTGTGTTGCGCTCATGCTGTTTCTATGTGTCCCAAATGAGGCAAGTCGGTGATCAGATGTCAGCCACGAGACAGGTTCTTCCAATTGTGAATCGTACAAATGAAGCCAGCAGGAGCGAGAGCAGACGCTCGCGATTGCGCTGTCGTATTACAGATCGCAGGGGCGTCCGTAAGGTAGGTACAGCCGTGGTGGTTACACTCAAAGAGTCTCGTCTCGGTCTGCCTAGCGCGCGTACGCTTGGATACGATGGCCCACAGTCAAGAGTCGTGGGCTCACGATTCCTCAGTCAAGAGTCTGCGCGCCCGCGTGCGGACTGCATCAATCAAGAATCAAGAATCAAGAATGTCAGGCAATCAAGAATGCTTGCACGAGACACATGTCGAGTCACCATGCTCATGTCGTCTTGAATGCGGAATGCGGGTCGAGTCGTAAGTGCCATGCGTCAAGGTCTGCGACGTAGGAGCCTGCCGTGTTCTGCAG